GTTACACTATTAAACTATCTGATGAGAGGTCATCAGGAATCTTTACACAGCCTGTAGGGATGTCTAAATATTAAATATGAATTCTGTCTGCGGGCTCCGCAATAGTCTAAACCATGGTAAAATTTTTCTAAAAAAAAAAACAAACAAAAAAAACACACTTATTGCTCTCTCCAAGTTTGCCACAGCTTGGCACATATGTAAGCCGGGCCGCTCGCCTAACTGCATAAATATGATTTTATATGCTAAAAGACCAACACAGCATTGCTAAATTCAACAGCTCCAAATTTTTGCAAACTTGTACTTGCAGCCTAAATTTGCAAATCCCTTATCAGTTTTGTAGAATTCTTGGTTTAGTCAATCAATCCTCAATTAGTTTGGACTTCCGGTAGTAATGTCTTGCTTATTCTACTGCAGTGCATTGGAAGTTTATCCTTAAAAGGTCAATAATCTTCTATCAAATAATCATGGTGTTTTTTAAATGACTGTATCATTATGTAGTCCACAAACCCTGCAGAATGTGTTATTCACCACGTAAATCGTAATTTAAACATCCTTATGTGATTGTTTATTCTGCTTTAAAGAGACACGCTAGACTAGACCCTTAACCCCTTCAGGACTGATGACGGTTCAGGATCGTCATAACGGAAATATTTACTTACCTGATCGCCGCCGATCTCCCGTTGGCGATCGGCGTTGCTCCCGGTCTGGGTGGACTGCCTGACAGCCCCCCCTTTGCGAATTGGGGCCCTGCGGCCATGTGATCGCTCTAACAGAGCGGTCACATGGCCGCAAAAGGCGTCAGTGAATCTGCCTGCAGGGAGACTGCCTGAACTGACTGTGAAAAAATATAAAAAAGCAGTCAAAGTAAAAAATAAAATAAATATATATATAAATGTCAAACTAAATGTATTTTTATATACATATATTAATATAAAAATACACTTATTAAATTACACACGTATATATATATATATCATAAAATATAAATAATAGGTAAATAAAAATAAATACATTTTTAAATAATGAAATATAAAAATATATAAATATATGTTATTTTATTTTAACTGTATTTTAATAATATATATAATCAAAATACACTTAGAATAAAATTATATCTATCTATGTATATATATATAAATAAAAATAACATGAAATATATATATATCCATATACAAAAGTACATAAATAATTTCATAAATATACACGCAGACTTCCAATATATAAATAGGTATATGTGTATGTGATATTTTTATATAATTAAGTAATTTTATTGATTGCAATTTGGGGGACCAGTTTGCTAGCCCTGTATTTACCCTGTAACATTCCATGACACCCTAAAACCTGTACATGGGGGAGGGGGGACAGGGAGCGGTGTTCCCGTTAATAGACCTGCAGGACCCAGGGCTGGCACAAGCGGCCGCCACAGCGGGGGGAGCACAGATCCAAATCCCCTGCCTCTGGCTCTGCCACTGGGGACTCGGATTTCTAAACTCACCTCACTCTCCCTGCAGCCAGTGGGCCGGCCTCTCCTGATGATGTCAGGGGGAGGGGGCGTGTCTTTCACTGCTCTTCTCACAGGGCCGCTGGGGAGTCTGGGAGAAGAGCAGAGGAAGCCACGCCCCCTCCTCCTGACAGCACCAGGAGAGGCTGACTTCACTGACTGCTGTATGCTGGCTGCTGCCCACCCCTCCCTGGCCCAAGGTAAGCCTCAGGGGGAGGGGAATACACTTTAGGGTTTTTTTTATTCCCCTCCTCAGCCCGTCCCCCTCCTCAGTCCCTGTCCCCCTCCTCAGTCCCTGTCCCCCTCCCCTCCCCCCCTGTCCCCCTCCTCAGCCCCTGTCCCCCTCAGCCCTGTCCCCCCTCCTCAGCCCCCCCCTCCCCCTCCTCAGCCCCTGTCCCCTCCTCCAGCCCCCTCCCCCCAGCCCCTCCCCCTCCTCCCCCTCCTCCGGTCCCTGTCCCCTCCTCAGCCCCCCCTCCCCCCTCCTCAGCCCCCCCCTCCCTATCCTCCCGGTCCTGTCCCCTCCCCTCCCTCCTCAGTCCCCTCCCCCCCTGTCCCCCCCTCCTCAGTCCCCTGTCCCCCCCTCAGTCGGTCCCTGTCCCCCCTCCTCAGCCCCCCCTCCCCCTCCTCCGGTCCTGTCCCCTTCATCAGCCCTGTCCCTCTTCCTCAGCCCATGTCCCTTCCTCAGTCCCTAACCCCCCCCTCCTAAGATCCTGTCCCTCTTTCTCAGCCCTGTCACCCTCTTTCTCAGCCCTGTCCCTTTCCTCAGTCCCTGTCCCTTTCCGCAGTCCCTGTCCCTTTCCCCTCAGCACTTTCCTCAGTCCCTGTTCCTTCCTCAGTCCCTGTCCCCTTTCCTCAGTCCATGTCCCCCTTCTTCAGTCCCTGTCCCCCTTCCTCAGCCCCTAACCCCCCCTCCTAAGATCCTGTCCCTCTTTCTCAGCCCCTGTCCCTTTCCTCAGTCCATGTTCCCCCCTCCCTCTTCCTAAGCTCCTGTCCCTCTTCCTCAGCTCTGTCCCCCTTAGCCCCTGTCCCTTCCCTCATTCCCTGTCCCCTTTACTAAGCTGCTGTCCCCCTCAGCCCCTGTCCCTTTCCTCAGCCCTGTCCTCAGCCCTGTCCCTTCCCTCAGTCCCTGTCCCCCTTCCTAAGCTCCTGTCCCCCTCCTTAGCCCTGTCCCCCTCCTCAGCCCCTGTCCCCCTCCTCAGCCCCTGTCCCCTTCCTCAGCCCCTGTCACCTTACTCAGCCCTTGTCCACGAGCGGTGCGTGGCATTCCCGCACTTTTTTACCCAGGACTTGACCCCTGGGTTTTATAGTGTTTTTGAAAATTACAGGATCAAATATAAGGCTTGATTTTCCTTTTTTTTTTATTTAACATTGAAATTTGCCAGGTTGGTTATGTTGTCTTGGAGAGCGTATGGTAGCCCAGGAATGAGAATTACTCCCATAATAGTATACCATTTGCAAAAGAAGACATCTTAAGGTATTGCAAATGGGGTATGTTCAGTCTTTTTTAGTAGCCACTTAGTCACAAACACTGGCTAAAGTTAGCGTTCATAATTGTTTTTTGGCTACTAAAAAAGACTGGACATACCCTATATTGAATACCCTGGGTTGTCTACTTTAAAAAAAATATGTACATGTGAGGTGTGATTCAGAGATTTATGACAGGTAACAGTGTTATAATGTCACTATTGATACATTTTAAAAATATATATTTTGAAACAGCAATTTCCTACTTGTACTTATAGCCCTATAACTTGCAAAAAAGCATGTAAACACTGGGTGTTTTTAAACTCAGGACAAAATTTTGAATCTATTTAGCAATTTTTGTTTCATTAGCTTTTGCAGATAAGTAAAAGATTTTTCAAGTAAAAGTCAAAAAACATGTTTTTTTTCTTTAAATTTTTCACCATTTTTTTTTAAAGTAGATTATATGACATGATACAAACAATGGTATGTAAAAAAAAGTCCTTTTTATCCTGAAAAAAAACCAATATATAATTTGTATGGGAACAGTAAATGAGAGAGAGGAAAATTACAGCTAAACACAAATACCACAAAAGTGTCTGTCTGTAGAAAATTTTGAATTTTAAATCACATGTTAACTTGCTTTAGACATTTTTATCTCTTGCTTTGTAAATTGAACTTTAATCACACACAGGATGCTTCTGCAGGTTGTAGAAAGCTCTTAACAGAGCATGAGCTAAGACGTTTTAAATTAAACAAAATGTGCAGGAAAGGAAATATAAAAATTAGATCTCTCTTTACAGGAGACATTTAGGAAGACTGTGCAAAACAAATATAGGGATTTGTGACAGGGCCCACATAAACAAATCGATTTAACTCCTAAATGGCAGAGAATTGAGCAGTAAGACTAAAGTTGATTTGTTGCTTACAGTGTCGATTTAACATTGTTACCCGCCCCCCCCCCCCCCCCCCAATGGAACTAAACTCAAAAGGAAGCAATTGCTCAGAGTACTTCATTGAGTAGCAGTGGGAAGTCTGTGATTGGATAGTCACAGAAAGTCTGGGCGGGGTTAAAAGGGGAGGGCTAGAGAGGTCGCATGCCGGCTGAGCTCCGAGCAATGAAAGGGAAAAAACCCACAATATATCCCCCTCTAAGGGTCGAAATCACCCCAGAACGACCACAAAGCCATACCCAATGGGGAGGAAAAATAAAAAATCTCAAACCTGAGAAACCCACGTCGGGTATGGACATCGGCGAGATGTGGCGGCAGGCCCGAGGCGCCACGAGCTCCAACATGGCGTCCCTACACGGCGGATGTTCGGATTTTTATGCAGAGACATTGGACGAAGACGGGGGGACCTCACCCCGATATGTCAGACCCCACCACCTGCTCGGACACAACATCAGCCACTGGCCACAGCTCCCACGCCGGTAAGCATGGAGGCCATGAGAGAACTTATGGCAGAACACCATAACAAAATCTCTGCAGATGTTGCCTCGATTAAGGACACCCTGCGGGGCCTAAGTGGATGTTTAAGAGCCATAGAGGACACTTCGAGCACCCACACCAGCAAAATCCGAAAGCTACAACAAGAGGTACGGAAGTTGAAACAACAATCTGCCCAAAACAACCTCAGATTTGCAGGGCTCAAAGACAAAAGACGCCTAAAACATCTTAAGGTTAGGGGCATCAGTGACGACATACCTGATGCAGAGCTGCCTCATGTCACTCGGCGGCTCCTCACGGCCCTACTTACTCCGAAGTCGGCCAAAGCAGTAGCACTTGACGGCGTATTCCGCATCCCAAAGCCCACTAAGGCGCCTACCGCTGCCACAAGAGACGTTGTAATCCAGTTCCAGTCCTTAAGGGACAGATCCGCAGTCCTGGCGGCCGTACAAAACCAACCACCCTACCTCTTTGAGGACATGAATCTTTGTTTCTATGCTGATCTCTCGGGGGCGACAGTAGCATGGAGAAGGTCCCTACAACAGCTGACATCCACCCTGCGAGTTCACCATATATGATACCGCTGGGGCCCTGCTCACACCCGGCTAGTAACCAAGGACGACATCACACTCTCAGCGCGATGCATACAAGAGGCATCGGGGATACTGAGACAGCTTGATCTACCCACGGACTCACTATCCCTGCCAAGGCCAGCGGAATGACCCAAGAACCCGCTGAACTGGGACGCAGCCAGCGTGGCGGAATTTGTCCCCAGACAACCGACCGGAGCACCCACAGCCGTATCTACCCCGTGAAGAAACTGCTGGGACCATCTTTCACAACCTGTCTAACCACCAACTGGCTTAAATAGACTGGCTACCCATGACCCATGCCTACTTACCACTTCATTGGGACACCGGCTACTCTACCCTATTCAGCCGTTACGCCGGCACCCGGACTGCTGAGAACACTTCACTGCAATCGAGCAAGGTTCTCACTGACCTCTGATTTTTATGTTACATTTATGTTATCAGTGTAAGTTGTGTTATATGATTTTGATTAGCCCACGTGTAGCTCCCACACTGGCCGGAACACTTAATTAACTGAGAGACCGTCTCCAGATGACGGGACCTTGACAAGCCTAAAAGTCACAAATGCACCAGTTCCTTTAGGTTGACGCTCAATTAAATTGCCTTACCGCCTGGGAATTAAAGCACCTGGCCGAGCTAGTATACTTGCCAACCACATCTGCTCTGCATGTCTCCCTAGCCTACCAGGCATGAGCCACACTGTTAATTAGGCCTAACCTTGTACACACGGTGCAACCAATTCGCAAACTGCCTACACGGAAGCTACACCTAAACTGAAACACACGTCATTGTCGTAGGTGACCAGAAAAACTTGCACCCTACCTGTATTGACAATACCTAACACCTGATTAGCCTAACTCACACCCTTAACCTTGCTTAGTAAGTTAGAGTCACTCATATACTTTTCTCACTGTTCCCGAGGACACCAAATGTACTGTCTAGGCTGTTAAAGCCCCAGCATGCCTTAACCACTATTGAAACGCAAATACATTATTTAGCATGCCTATAGCCTAATTATCGCATTGACTTAGCTGAAGCACACTCTCGCAATATGTTTTCTTTGCATTCCATATGTATAAACCTGACTGTAATATAAAAACTGTGCATGTTACTCATGTGTCCCCCGCATGTTCCACGTGGGATGAGCCAGAGGATTGCCTTTGGGGTACCTCTTGCCAACCTGTACTATATCTCCGCACTACAAAAATAAAGTATTACAAATTTTTTTTTTTTTTAAAGGGGAGGGCTTAGAAAGACTGCAGACAAGAGATCTGTAGCTTTTGTAAGCTGTTTATATATATATCCCCAATGAAAAAATGCATTATTAATGGAATGCATGTTTTCATATGACATACATCTACTAAACAGTGATTTAATTTTGTATTTGGGCAGTGCAGCGTCTTTCTGACTCGGAAACTATCTGAGACTCCACTGGTATATTGTGTATTAATGAATAGTCTGGATGTCGATCAAAAGACATTTGATTTGGATGAAGCAAACGTTTTGCACAAATCTACTGCTAAGCACGTAGTTACACTTCCTCATTACAAAAAAGGGGGTTAAGGGCTGCGCTAATAGATAATAAATAATAAATAAATCAACAAATTAAACCAGATATAATCAATAGACAAAGTTCGTCCAAAAATAAATTGAAACAGTCTCACTGATATGTGATGGTAAGATAATAGTCCTCAGGTGTTGATCCGTCCGTATGGTGGCAGATAGTCCATATATGTGGAAATAAAAAACAAAAAGAGAGCTTCCAATGGTGAAATATTGTACGTCCAAATGTGATGTATAAATCAAGAGAAAGGTATTTCACTCACATTTGTTGGAGCTTGAACCAGCTCTAGGAGAAGAGGCACTTAGTGGTTTGATCCCCACTATCGGATACACTTGAGTGGTGGGTCCGTCTGTCCGGCTTAGTATTTCCTTGGGAACTTTATTTAAAACTATTAAAAACAATAAAAACTTGTATAGCATAAAAACAAAGTGTAGCTAATGTGCTCCTGAATGATTTCTCAAAAATGTATGATTAATATCCTTTTTTTCACTGCACAGTTTTGCCTACGGAGAGCACTATATTTTGTACCTCGTTTCATATGATACCGCTGATCACGCTTGACTTGAAAAATCCAAAAGTGGGGATCGTACCTCTACATGCTGGTTTACTCGAGCAATCCAGGGCTCTACTGCATGTGAGTGCATAAATCATAGTCACATAGCTGAAAAGACACGTGTCCACCAAGACCTGCCTTTCTTACATTTGCTTTTGCAGTTGATCCAAAAGAAGGCAAAAACCCCAGTCTGAAGCGCTTCCAATTGTGAACCAAATTAGGAAAAAAAATCCCCTAGAATGGCAGTCAGATCTCTCCTTGGATCAAGAAGCTATTACCACACTAATTAAAAATTATATCCCTGTAACATCCTTATTGTTCTTACTGTAAAAAACTCTTTCCTTTGCCTTAGACTAAATCTCCGTTCTTCCAGTCTAAATGTGTGACTTTGTCTCCTATGTATAGTCCTGTTTATGAATAGATTTCCAGACAATGGTTTGTATTGGCCCCAAATATATTTGTATAATGTTATCATATCCCCTCTGAGGCAACATTTTTCTTAACTAAACTGATCTAAATTTGTTAACCGTTCTTCATAATTAGAATGCTCCATTCATTTGATCAATTTTGTAGATAGCCTCTGCACTTGTTCAAGTGCCATAATATCCTTCATTAGAACACGTGCCCAAAATCATATACTTACATTATTTCCCCAACCCGCTTTTCATACTGCACTATATAGTGTTCCTGTATTCTGCTCTGTGGTTTATGTCTTGGTGAGGACCAATATAGAGTACAAGAAGACATTCCACATATCTTAAGGCCAGGTTTTTTCTGCCCAGGCCCAATACCTCAGAGCTGGTGTACAGCTCCACCTAATGTAAGTAGAACTCCAAACTCCCCCTGTATCTAGCAGTCTCCCCCCTGTCTCTAGCAGTCTCCCCCCTGTATCTAGCAGTCTCTCTCCCCCTGTAGTCTCCCCCCTGTATCTAGCAGTCTCTCTCCCCCTGTATCTAGCAGTCTCCCCCCTGTCTCTAGTCTCCCCCCTGTATCTAGCAGTCTCCCCCGCCCCCCATGCCGCCGCTTTGTGTCGGAGGGCAGGAACCCGTTGCCTTTAAGAATCCGCCGCTGCAGGCTGGGAGAATGCGATCCGCCGAGCATCCTGCCGGCTCCGTGTTATACCGGGCTGGGGACCGGGGGAGCAGGAGGTAGAGCCGGGGATACACAGCCTGACCGCAAGCATGGAGCCACAGCCTGCCTGAGCCGAGCACGGACTCAGAGTGTGAGTGAGGGAAGCACTGAGTGAGGGTGTGAGTGAGGGAGGGTGGGAAGCATTGAGTGAGAGAGTGAGGGTGGGAAGCATTGAGTGTGAGTGAGGGAGGGTGGGAAGCATTGAGTGAGAGTGTGAGTGAGGGTGGGAAGCACTAAATGAGAGTGTGAGTGAGGGTGGGAAGCACTGAGTGAGGCTGTGAGTGAGGGTGGGAAGCATTGAGTGAGGCTGTGATTGAGGGTGGGAAGCATTGAGTGAGGCTGTGAGTTGGTCAGTGAGGGTGGAAAGCACTGAGTGAGTGAGGCTGGAGCACACTCAGTGAGGCTGTGAGTGGCAGGTGGAGCTCTGGGGCAGCAGACTGAAGGTGGTGCTGTAAGTGGACCTTTAGAGATAATAGTAGGTAAATGAGTTTATCTTCTGTGGGATTTGTCAGTGGGGCTGTGGGGAGCAGTGAGTGGAGTTTGCCCTCTGTGGGGAGCAGTGAGTGGAGTTTGCCCTCTGTGGGGAGCAGTGAGTGGAGTTTGCCCTCTGTGGTGAGCAGTGAGTGGAGTTTGTCCTCTGTGGGGAGCAGTGAGTGGAGCTGGCCCCACAGTAGATAGGGATTTGAGTGGAGGAGTATTCACAGTGGGTGCAGTGTGTGGAAAAGGGGTTTCTTCATTATAAACTGGTTACTGAGTTGAGTGGGGAAGTGAGTGGATAGTTGAGCAGAATACCCTATGAGTGGGAGGTTTATTAAGGTACACTGTGTGAGTGGGCAGCTTTGTAAGGCAAACTGTGTAAGTGGGCAGATTATTAGGATACACCATATGAGTGGGCAGGTTATTTGGGTATGGTGTGTGAGTTTTACGGTAGCAGTGAGCAGTTTAACAGTAACACTGTGTTAGTGGGCAGTGTAGTAGGATGCACTGTGTGAATGGGAAATGTAGCAGTGTGGGTGGTATAACAGGATTCAATGTAAGTGGGCATTTTAGTAGGGTACACTGTGAGTGAGCAATGTAGCAGGATATACTGTGAGTAGGATTTTTGTACAGGGTACATTGTGTGAGTGGGTAATGGAGCAGGATATACTGTGTGAGTGGGCTTTGTAGTATAGTATACTGTGAGTGGGAAGTATTGCAGGGTATACTGTGTGAGTGGGCAGTATAGCAGGGTACAGTGTTAAGTGAGTTGTATTGCAGGGAACATTGTGTGCAGCATTAACCTCTGTGAGAGACTAGAGCAGGGTTCACTGATTGATCACAAACTCAGAAGAATCCATAGGGAACAGAGGAAGAGTGTGACCGTGGTGAGGAAGAGAAGGAGTACTGACTACTGGATTATCCTGGAGAGAGGAGTTGTACCTTGGGGAGGCAGCACGAGAGCTGGGTTACCCTGGATTAGCAGAAGGAAAGAGAGGGGCATCATTTACTACCTTGGCAAGACTTGCAGAGCCCTGCCATCCCAATGAGTAACAGTCCTGGGGTAATGGTACCCTAATTTTCCTATCGCTGGTATCTGCTTGTGAGCCGAAAGTATGAGAAAATTGAGGAGATTTGTGCACCTGGTGCTATTTTGTCCACTTTCCAAAGGACTGCAGGTACTTACTATCCATCTTTCTGTCTTTAATTAATATTGTCTGTCCAATACTCCTTTAAAACTTTGTGCTACTTCTGTTAAAATATGGCCATTTTATCCACGCTAAACGCAGAATTCACGCAACCCTGGCAGACACACCAAACACCAGATGCAAGGTCCTTTGAGATTTTTTGATAGTGTTTTGTAACCCCTAATTCTCTTACTAAATCTAACTTTTGCTCATGTCAGTAGCAGCATCTTCAAATAATTCAATAACACCATACATCATTCAGAGCCTGGCACACGGAAGGTTAAAAAATGGCACATATGACGCATGTTCCGCGAGGAAGACTACTGTGTATGAATTATAATCCAGTTTTAGGTTATACAGAAGCCTGGAGGTCCAGTCATGTTAACTGCTTGAGGTCCGATCTTGTCACTGGCGGTGGAATTAGCAGTGAATTGCTAAAGATTTTAAGGTCTATTAATGGTTAAAAGGAAGACTGTACTTTAACACACATGAGTACACACGCAACACTACGAACACACAACTACTTGCAAACAAACACAAGTATTACATATACAGAATACATATATTAAGCGGTATATAAAAATATAAGAAAAATAACACTGATAGTGTTTTTGTATATGAAGGGAAAAAAAGGCTTTTTTTTTCTACGGGCAGAGTTGACAAGAGAATTTATTAATTTTAAGCTGTAGGTAAAACCCAAAATATATATTATAAAATCTGCGAATGTTAACTTAAAATTTGGATTTTTTAAAATTTTATTTTGTTCTCTTCAATTCCTGGGTTTATGAATATTGCCAAGGTGTTAAAAATTCTCCTATGTAAAAATTCCATTCTCATTATTGACACAAATCAATTTTGAACAAATATTAAAGTGTTATTTTAATGGCACAGATTCTGCAGTGGGTTCAGGCAGTGGATATATTAATAGCTGTAGCTCTGCCAGTTTCCATATTTTAATGGGCTAAGAGCTATTCTGTGGAATTAAAATAGTTAACTGAGGTTTGTTCAGGGAGAATACAGATAAATTGCTAAAGGAACCCCCTACGCATTTTGCAGCAAAGTGAGGTCTGCAGATGGCATTAATTTGGCTCTCAGTTAACTGTTTCATTACTGGGTTTAAGACTGACAAGGCATCATGGGTGTTGTAATCCAAAACAGCTAGGGTAATCCATTGGCTGATTTTTCTTATTTACAGGGTGTCTATTCGTACCATAATCTTTGGAAACCTTTTTCTATGTAGCAGCCCTGAGGGGATAAAATATGGCAGTTCACTCCAACATAATGTTCATTAATAATTAAAGAGGGAAAGTTGAAGAAATCTTTCCTATTTATTAATACACTTTCACTCAGTGCTCCCAGGGGGACAGTTGAAAGCCATTGTTAAAATGGTTAAAGGCAACAGAGTGATTCTAGAGTGTTTTTTTGTTTTTGTTTGTTAATATTTTCCGAGTCTGAAGTGAGCTGTTTCATTGTGGTCCAAGTCTATATGTAGTAGTTTAGCCAATCACTTATAGGAAACAAGTCATTTTGTGTTAGAGGTTGCTTAGACTAATGATTTCAACTATTCCATTACAAATCCGATAAATCCCACTTTAAAGCGACTGTTACATTCGTAATCATTGCATAATTTGCCCCGTCTTTAGCTCTTGGCGATTCGTCTGCCAGGAATTGCGATAGAGACTACAACACTGATGTCTGTGGCAGTTCTCAAGATAACGCAGGAGCTTCCATAAATTCACTGGGTTATTTAGTAAAGTGAGAATTCATAGTTAATTTCAAATTTAAGGTCCAAATTGCTGAACTGAACAAATTGTCTAAGTATCAGCTAAGTTTGGCTACTCTGGCCTTAAATTTGAAATTCATTTTGAATTCGCTTTGAATATATAACTCTGTAAGTCTCACAATCCGCGAGGAAAATGCTTGATTCCAACAGCTGTTGCTAACGACGACTGGGCGACCATCGAAACTTGACGTTGAAAGTTCTGCTTTTTAAAACCTCAGGCTTTACCATAACACAGATTAGTCCCCAATTTGTCTCAAGAAAACATTTGACTCCATTGGAATTCCAATGTCAGTATGAGTATGTCATAAAGATTTTGTATTTCTGAATACTTAAGTTTTGTTTTGTTTTTTGGTGAGATGGCTGCCGCCTTAAAGCTATCACCGTCTGGAGTTTTTGCATAATTTGCAATACCCTTGATGGTGACACCGCCGCTCGGGGTCTGTTGGCCGGGGTGGCAGGCAAAGGTGAGATTTAGTTACCTGAACCTGCCCCTCGTGGGAGCTGCCGTCCTCTTCCTGCTGCTCTTTGTCAGCTCCTGGGCTTCATGTCAGGGCTGTACTCGAGAGTACAGCATTGAGGTCTATGGAGGATCCCACAAGACCGCGGGACCCTAGAGAGAGAGAGAGCTTAATTACCCTGCAGCCGTTGTTGGTGATGGTTGGAGTAAATGGCAGGGATTTACCAGCGGTAGCTATGCCAAGTGTCAAGCATTATCAGGCGTGGGAAAAACACAATGTCGTATATATTTTGACTGGGTTGGAATTTCAGTAAAATTCCAACACAGTCAGTCTGAATGTTTTTATTTGTTGGGTTTTTTTTTGGATGGGTGAAAGTTCCACTTTGAATGGACCCTCTAAGCACCAAAACAACTTAAGCTAGGCTGAAAAAATGTAATTCTAAAGTGTAGGGAAGGCTGCACGAGTCTCAGCCAGGGGAGGTGTGACTCGGGCTGCAAAAAGTGTTTTTGAAATCCTTAATGGCAGAGTATTGAGCAGTGAGACTGCAGGGGCATGATCTGCAGGCCAAAACTGCTTCATTAAGCTAAAGTTGTTTTGGTGCTTAGTGTCTCTTTTAAGAAAATACAGAAAGATTAGTGTACCACACAAAGGCTCACAGTTGCTCCTTGTTGAATAGATTGTTTAATTCTGGACACAAAGTGAAAGCTGTATTCTACAAATATACTGTAAGTTCTATCCCATGCTGTCTGTCCCTATCTCCTGCAGACTGACTAGGTTCAGTATGTAAATGGTGATAACAGACGTATTGCATGATCTGTGGAATTTAGATTTATGTAATTGTTGTTGCATTTGTGCTTCAAATAAGCAACTGTGATTTTATTATGCGTGCATTTTGCGGGTTTTCAAGTAAAATGACTGAAATTACTCAAAAAAATTACCAATGCAATTCACGTTTTCTTTGTGGCTGACTAAAGTACGTAACACTACTTAATAACCCAACCTAATCTCCTACAGTTTAGAGCTAGTCGGATAATGTAACAATCGTTTGCCAATAGCAATAAGAAAGCGTGATAATAAATAATCTTATTCGTATCAAAGTCTTAAGTAACCCGTGTCTTTTCTACAATTTTACTGTGAAGCGCATGTCAAATTATACGTGCAATTTATTATTGACGTGTCTGTCATAATAGCAAAGTATAACCAAAAAACCTGCATCTACTATTTCACTTTATATAAGTAGCCTGCATCTGGACAATTTAATT